AGATGTGCACGACCACCAATATTCAGATTCAGAATTCAGATTTGAAATTTGGGGTCTTAAAAATATGACATGGGAATGGAATGTATTCAGATTCCAAAATGAACCAGGGGGATTTGCTCATTTCTGAAGCCATCAAAAGCAAAGCAAATGAAACCAAAACAAGACTTGGACTGATACGTCTCCAAAGCCCCTAATATTGCTTCAGTGCTTGAGAGGTTGAACAAGCTGAAACAAACAAGCTGGGGAAACAAAAGTAGTGCCATAACAGAACCAGGAAGCTCAGTGCTCATGAAAAGCCCAAGCTCTCCTGGAAACTGCAATCACTGTTCCCTCTGGGAGGGAATTCCTTTGCCCATGTGACTGGTAGGCCTTTTTATTGAATGGGGCAGGTCACAGGAGTATTAAGAATTCCAAACTTCACACAGGAGGGACGAGAGAGAATGAATTTTAAAAAGTGATGGGAGTTTTGCCTGCGTACTGGAGGCCCAGCAGTAGTTGATGTTACTGAATTACACCCGCCCATCCCAGGTCAGAGCCCTTCCCCTGCCCCATTTTTATGTCCCTCCCACTTCTGACATATGTATGGAATATTTGGACACTAATTAAAGTTGCTGGCAAGATAGATCAATGGTTTAGGTCTCTGGCTGTGGAGCCAGAGTTTGAGAGTTCAATTTTCTACTTTGAGTGAGCTAGCCTCTGTAACCTTGGATCAGTGGCACAGTCCTAGGGCAACCCCAGAAGAAGGGAAGGCGAAACCACTTCTGTGTCTTCTTTATCTAGAAAGCCCTGGGAAGGGTCACCATAAGTCAGAATCGACAGCATATAACTATTATTATTAATCAAGATAGGCTTGAAGCGAACTGGTTTATAAGAGCAATAATCCACACCAAATCAAAGCAGATGGAATTTGCATACCCCTCACCCAGGGCAAATTATTTGCCATCCAAGTCAATTTGGCATCTAAATCAATTCATAAACTTCCTGTTGGCCTGCACTAGAAAATAAATATGGCTGAAAGGATTTTTCATTTTTTTTGTACAGCTGTACCTAAAATTTGGAGACATGATACGTACTAAAAAGTGGAGGAAACCTGCTGAATATTCAGCCATTTGAATACTTGATATCTTTGAAGTTTGCCTTTCTTCAAAACAAATGGGACGGAATAGAAAAAAAAAAGGCTTAAGTTCTTTGTGCCCATCTACATTTGATTTTGTTCTGGGTACCAATCAACTTGCAAATTTGCTTTGCTTAACTCTGATAACCAAATCTGGTCATTCTGATCTCACGGCAATCAGTTTGACTCATGTGATTCAGTTAGCAATTTCGGATTTGTCGAAATCTGGTACACAGCTCCAGTGATTTCTATAATCCCTTGGGGACAGCGGAACAGTCCGCTGTTGCAGTCGGATAGTACGATCTGCGGCCGGTTGGCTTTCTGCATGCGTGCATGTGTGTGTGCATTTAAATAAGTGTGTACATTTCTCCCAGTATTGGCCTGGGGGGGGGACGAGTGCAATATCTGTTGATTTAACCCATCCTGACATTTCACACATTTTATTAACAAGACAAGTGAAATGTTAAAAAGTGTTAAGTCAGAAACAAGGGTGTTTTTCTTCTCCTGGGCTGGAGGTGGGTTGTTGTTGTTGTTGTTGTTGTTGTTGTTGTTGTTGTTGTTGTTGTTGTTGTTGTTCTTCTTCTTCTTCTTCTTCTTCTTCTTCTTCTTCTTCTTCTTCTTCTTCTTCTTCTTCTTCTTCTTTCTCCTCCTCCTCCTCCTCCTCTTCCTTCTCCTCCTCCTTCAGTAGCTCTTGGAATATCACTTCTTTCTTACACCCCAGTTCCACTTCTAAACACCCCCTTTTTCCAAATTGAGTTTAGCATATTTTGGATCGATTGAAATTTGGGCATTTTAGATGAGGTGCGTGCACACACGGATTCATTCGAAAGGGGACTGTGCAACCACTGAGCTATCCAGCCAGCTAAATTACTGCACCATAATTTGGATGTTTCACGTCATCGTCATTTTAGAATTGCAGAACTGGAAGGGACTCTATGGATCATGGAGTCCAGACCCTGTCAAAGAGGCCCTGGGAGGGAATCCAACTCCCAAACTCTGGCTCCGCAGCCAGAGTCCCTAAACTCCAGAGCTACCCAGCAGAGTTTTAAATGCGAAATGCAAGGTTTTAAAGACGAAATAAAGACCCAGGGCATTTCAATGTGTGAAGTCGCCCTTTTTCTGAAAGACATGAACACGAGTATTCATTACATTTTCAGTTATTAGCTGTCAGGAGCAGTCCTGTTGAATCAGTGGGGGTTCTAGAAGTCCCATGGATTCAATGGGTCTACTCTAGTTGTAACTCACTACTGTACCTGTATTGGATTTCTGACACCCTTTAGGCCTTAACAGCAGGACAAAAAAATTTCCTCAGAAATGCTCTCTGGTTCCCTCTTGTGGCTAACTCACACATTTTCATCCTGTAAACGTACTGTATACAAAAATGCAGAAGACAAAATAGGTAAGGCTTTCAAAATAAGTGAGATATTTTAAGGAGTGGTTTTTCCAGTTCCACCCCCGCCCTCCAGTGAGTTTCCTTGGTTGAGTAATGATTCGAACTCAGGTCTCCCAAGTCCTAGTCCATCACTCTTATCCACTACACTGCAAGAAGTGTTAATTATATTACTTGACTGTATCTTTCTAAGCACTAGTTACGTTTATGGGAGTAGTTTTAAGTAACTACAGTACATTAACCTGTTTTGTGTCAGTATAAGTTTATGAGTACAGCCAAATGGTTTCATAATCCATTGTAGCTGAGGAGATCCTCTCTTGTGTATGGTTTATAACAATAAATACTGTAAGATGGCCACCACTAACAAATTTGATTTTGTGGATGTCTCCTGGTTCAGTTAAATTCATTTATGAAGTATCTCCTGATAAGCCGCCTAGAGTGGTCCTATGTGATTCAGATAGGCGGGATATAAATGAAATAAATAAA